GAGGGAAGAAGAGGAGAGAGAGAAGAGAAAATAGGAGAAGAAAAGGGGGGAGAAAAGGAAGGCGAGGGGTCAATCTCGTCCCTCCCTTTCCTTACCCCTTCCTTTGCTTGCCTCCTGCTCGACCTCTTGCCTCCTGCTCTGCGCTCCCCTCAAGCTCCTGCTGGCACTTCGCTGCTCTTTGGCTCGTGTCTTTCGCTCCTTGCCTTTCCCCCAAAACTGCAGCGCTCCCGCAAGTGAGGGTTCTCTCGCAATCTGATCCGTGTCACGCTTCCACGCATGCTGATCTCTCGCACACTGATCTGTCTTCTTGGGTGACGTGGCCTCTCTTTTATAATGGAGAGGCCAAGTGATCGGGGCTGAGTGCTGCAGTCCCAAGGTCGGGGCTGTGGTCAAATTCTAGACCGGGCCTGTGCTAAAAATAGCAGTAGTCCCGACCTCGGGATATGAACAGTCAGTCCTATTTTTAGAACGGGACTGGCGCAGGCCCAGTCCCCGGTAGATGAACCGACAGTCCCACGCTAAAAATAGCGTGGGACTGTGTTATTTTTAGAACGGGACTGGCACAGGCCCAGTCCTTGGTAGATGAACAGTCAGTCCCACGCTAAAAATAGCATGGGGCTGTGCTATTTTTAGAATGGGACTGGTGCAGGCCCGACTTTGGGAAATGAACAGTCAGTCCCATGCTAAAAATAGCACATGACCCTATTTTAATTATTCGGGTCTGGCTCTTCATATATATGGCTACTTAGGGTTGTTCCTTCCCTGGCCGGGTTACGCGGTCGTGTCGGTCCGGTCCCAACCGGTCAAACTTGAATATCTCGCTAACCATTGGTCCGTTTCAAGTGCCGTTTGGACCGGACCCCACTCAATGGCCCATTGTGGTCGCGTCGGTCCAGTCCAACGAGGAAGATCAGGTCTCCAGGGGACCGTACCGTCGTGCCATCTTTCCCTCGATTTCGGCTCAGGGGAAGTCTAACCGAAGCGCTAGGGTCCATGACTGCGGACGCAATTTTGACGCAGCGCGGGAGTTGACCGCGGCGAGTCAATTTCCGCTGATGCGCCCCGTCATCTTCCGACCCCGCGCGACGCTCCGAGCCAAGATACCATCCTGGCCACTTTTTCGACCCACATTCGTTCCCACGGCCCCTAAGCGTCCGCGCCGGCCTACCAGCCTGTGCCCCGACCGTCCCGTACGCCTATTGGTGCGCCAATCCTACCACCGATCGCGCGCGCCGACCAAAAGCAAGAAAGAAAACAGACTTTTACCCCTAACCAGACCCGTAACATGGTCCGGGCCGGTCGACTAGACCAGCTGTCTACTTCAACCAGAAAAAAATAACAGCGCGTCTCAAAATTGCATGCCCACATACTCCCTACCAGGACAAGGCAGACCTTTGCCCATGCGCGGACGACCCTCACATTTCCCACACAGGCACTCAAAATCCAGGTTAACCGAGCCTTTCTGTCACTTGCAAAAACCAGGGCGGATACCCTTGTAAGGGTATTCGCGCCGACACCGTATTCTCAAAACAGGGAGGTCAGGCACAACGAAACAGGCGTTTTGCAAGAGGCAACTTTGACGATTTTCTATGCTCAGACGAACATGCACAAAAATATGAAATTTGGAGAATCCATAGATGAGGTCGTGTTCTTTCCAGAAATAATAATAGAACATTTACAAAAAATCATTTAGACTGCGAATAATCATTGCGCCGATTCAGCACATTTTCCATTTTTGCCATTCAGCCATGCTTGGAGCCTTGGGTGAACTAAAAAAGTACTCCAAATTCAGTGAGTTTTCGCGCTCAGAAGAATCTGTGAAAAAACCTGAAAATTTGAGTACTTGTAGATTTTGTTGTGATCTTTCCAGGAGAAACGCTACATAAATTTAAAAAAATCATTCCAACTGCGAAATAGATTGCGGCCACAAGTTGACCCATATTTCAATTTTGCAATTCAGCCTC